CTATAATAGTTTTATACTTCTAGATAGCGCTATTAAAGTCTAAACACTAAATATTTTAGTTAAGAGTAACTACTTATATACGCTTATTAAGCGCGTAGTATAGCTTAGTAAGCTTCTAGTTACTACTCTAGCTAAGTCTATCTACTTGCGTAAGAAGCTAGCTAAAGTAAATAAGAAATTTAGTAAAGCTTTACTTTTTACTTTATTATAAGTAATTTAACTATACTTAGGCGTGCTTTTAGAAGTGCTAGTTACTATAATAGAACTTAAGATACTTTAGAAAAGTAATAGAGTTCTAATAGTTCTACTTACTAAGCTTATAGAATAGAGTAACTTTACGCTATACTATAATTAAAAGAAACTACTAAATATAAATAAACTAGGCCTTTATATCTCTAATAAACTTCTAGTTTATATTTAATTTATACTCTATTATAATACACTATAAATAAAAGTATATTCTATTACTAGTAAATAGCTTCTCTAGAGGTAAGGCCTTATAGCGTAAAGTAAGAACTACTATAGTAGTAGAAGAACTTAGAAGTAGTAGTACTATAGCTACTAAAAAGAATAGCGTAAGTACTAATAAGGTTATAGTTATAGTAATAAATAGTAATATTATAGAGCTAAATATAAAGTGTATTAAAGTAATAAGGTTATATAGTTTCTTATTTTAGAAGCGTAATATTACTATTATAATATAGTTCTAGGCCTACACTTTATAAATAGCTACTATCTACTTAGAGAGCTAGTAGAGTAATATAAGAAAAGAGGTCTCTAGAGATCTTTAAGTATTCTATATACTAAGTTCTACTATTATAATACTTAGGTATAGTGTATAAGAAGAAGAAATATAAATATTATAGACTAGCCTTAAAGTATAGCTATAATAAGTATTAGTAAAGATATTATATTTCTTAGAGAGAAAGCTTATAGTAAGCCTTACTCTATATACTAAGCTAAGGCTTAGATAAAGTCTAAGTCTATTATACTTATTCTTTAAAGACTCTACTAATACTCTTATTACTAGCTTCTTAAAGACTTTAATACTATTATTAGTAATTATCTTATAGAATCTATAGTCTCTATAGAGGTATATATATTAAAGTTAGGTAGTATAGACTTAAAAGAAGCCTAAGAGCGCGTAGCTACTATTATTATTATCTATAACTACTATTAAGAAGTTATGTTTATAGTGTAGAGTTATAGAAGTAAGAAATATTACTATAATAGTGTTAGTAGTAGTTCTAGAGATAAGAAGGTATTAAGAAGTTATATTCTTAGTATAGAGTTATAGCAGTAGTAGTAGTTCTTAGAGATAATAATAGTAGTCTTCTAAGTTAAAGCTATTAGCGTTAAGATTAGAAGAAAGAGAAGAAGAACTTACTTCTTATTTTTTTTTTTTCTAACTACTATCTCTAGCTTCTTATATTAGTAGACCTAATAATATAACTTTTAAAAACTCTACTAATATTAATATTAATAGAAATAGAAGCGTAGCGTTAGATAGCTATAATTCTTCTTTTTCTTTTTATCTTATTAGATAATATAAAATTATCTTTATTAGAGTAGAGACTATATTAATAGTCTACTAGCTAGGTCTCTCTAGTAGCTTTACTAAGAGCTTCTCTAGAAGCTCTATAAGGCTATTAGAGTTATAGATAGAAGTGTAATAATTAAAAATATAAGTATAGCTAGTTAGGCTACTTAATAGTAGAGTTTTAAAGTTATTAGTGTAGAATATAGTAGAGTACTACTATTACTCTTTCTAGAGTCTCTCTAGGCTTATTTACCTATAGTAATATATTAGAGTCTATAGTTATAAAGTTAGATATATAAAGTTACTATAAAGTTTTAAGTAGCTATATAAAGAAACCTTTATTAAATAATTAAGCTCTATACTATACTAGCGTAATACTAAAAGCGCACTAGTTTTACTAACTTATTTTACTACTATGTAGATAACTACTTATTTTCTATATTATATTTATAAATAGAGATAATAGAGAGTATAGAAAGGTAATAAAAAATAATAGAGAAGGCTTCTACTATAACTATTAGTTACTACTACTCTTACTAATAATATTATTTACTTATATAGTTAAGAAGAAATATATTAGCCTACTAGCTAGGCCTCTCTAGTAGCTTTACTAAGAGCTTCTTTAGAAGCTTTTCTAAAAGGCTTTATAAAGCTATTAGAGTATTAGACACTATTCTCTCTATCTTAGATTTCTAGTACCTACCTACTACTATATTAATAGTTAGACTAATAAGTCTTACTAGAGTTACTTTTCGCTAGTAGCTTACTCTAGTTCTTCTCTTTATAATTACTATTATATTACTTATCTATTATATTACGTTATATTATAGTTTTATATTATTACGTTATATTATATTATTATAGTAGTGTTATTAAACTACCTACGTTATAATTATTACTTTTAATAAAAGTAAGAATATTAGTCTACTAGCTAGGCTTCTCTAAAGACTCTACTAAAAGCTTCTCTAGAGGCTCTATAAAGCTATTAGAGTAAGTAGATAGCTACTTTGTTATTAAAGTTATAGTGTTATATATTAATATTTATTATATAATCTAAAATGCTAACCTCTATAATTATAGTAAGTAGGTATAGCTAATTATAGGCCTTTCTAGTTAGGCTAACTATAGCGTACGCTTTTGCTCTATTGTTTACAACTTTAAGAGCTCTATAAGCAGAGTAATAAATAAGTAAAAAATAATTAATATATAAGTATAAAGATTTTATTTTTTATCTTTTCTAAGTACTAAAGTAGTATATAACTATAATAGTATACTTTAGTTATTAAGTTAAGATTTTTCTAAGTTTTTATTTTATTAGTAAACTAATTCTATAGCGCAAACTAGTCTAAAAAAAGTAAAGTCTGTTACTAGTATATAAAAAGACGTATTTCTAAAAAGGTTAAAATTCTACGTTTAGAGGTGTAGGCGTTAGGTAGACTAAGACTTAGGTTCTTAGCGCTGCTGCCTCTAGCGTAGTTAAAGCTTTTAAAATTTAGAGTAGTAAGGTAACTATTCTATAAATACTAATATCTACCTATACTATAGTAGAGAGAATTATAATATAATTATATATTCTTAATAGCTTATAACTAACTAAGCTATAGATTGCGAAGTAATAAAATGCTAAAATCTTAGCTTGCAAAATTATACTTCTACATATATACTCTTTATTCTCTACTTCTATTCTTATTCTATAGCTTATAGTAAAATTAGAGATCTAAAAACTTATTAAAGACGTAAATAGTAGCTTAAATCTAATACTAAAAGCTGCACTAATACGTACACTAAATAAGCTCTTAACTACGTTGCTAACACCTCTTTTATAAGTTCTTCTAGCGTTAGTAAGTATGCCTATCTAAAGCTAATCTTATTACTAGTTGTATTACCTCTCTCTATACTTATATTAATTGCATTCTTATACTATATTACTTATTAAAGCTTCTATAGACCGCTCTAAGACTACTACTAAAAAGAAAGCTCTTAGTTAGGCTGTTCTAGTAATTATTATATAGACTATTATTAAGGCTATTATAAAGGCTATTATTAGAGCTCTTAAGACTTACTTTACCTATTTTATATTACGTTCTAAGACTACTAAGACTATTACTACTATTAATACTATTAATACTATTAAGATTATTATACTACTGCTATAAAGGCTTCTAATATATAGACTAAGACTTTTTATAGTTCTTTATTATAGCTAAGCTTTTAAGTAACTTACTAGTAATATATAGAAGTTTTTTTATAGGCTATACTTACTTTAAAGAAAGTAATAGAATAGTTATTATATTACTAGTATTACTCTTTCTACCTAGAGTAATTTATTAATTATTTATACTATTTATACCTATAACTTTATATATAAGCTTAGGCTATAGATAGCTCTACTTATAAAGATAAAGGTAGCTATTATATACTAGCGTAAGGCGTTTATTAGAATCTTTAGCTAAAGTAGTAATAAATAGACTAAAGAGAATAAAACGTTTAAAGCCTACCTCTAGTATAATAATACTATTAAATAGATAGTAGCTATGTTAGCGTTTTACTATTATAGTTGCTCTTAAAGACTAAGAGAGTAGTTATTTTTATTAGCTACTTAAGTTGTGTTATATTAATAGCTAAAGATTAAATATAGTAAGACGTTAAAAAGTTTCTCTTCTTAGCGAGGCTTTAAAAGTAATGTATTATTAGTCTATATAGAAGCCTTAGTGCTAATAGTAATATACACTAAATATATTAAAATTTTAAAATTTCCTAGCGGTCCTAGAACGAAAGCTAGGCGTTTTTTAACGTCTTTTTACTAAACAGAGTCTGCAAAATTAGGCATAAGGCACCGTCTAAGTTTTTATAGTTAAGAAATACTAAAGCCTAAGGCTTACTTCGGACACGTGATGCGGCTTTCTGATCAGCATCAGAGAGACAAGGCACCCGCCTGCCGAAGACGGCGGAGAGATCGACTAGCCACGGATACGATGTAACGTCTCAGGCGATGTCTCGTGTGATGATGTTGGTTGGCTTCTTGCCGACACTTCTTCAGTCGCAAAATGGCGACATTTGGAAGGTAGAGACTGCGACTGCTCCGACTGTGTAATAACGATCATACAACGAAGATGGGCGAACGCATTTAAAAAGTCTGTGAAGGTGGCTGGAATACCGCAAGTCTGATGGAAACGATGATGCTGCAGCAAGTGACGCATGTGGGGCAAGATGCGACTGACAGCTTATCTCCGGGCTGCGCGCCCAACACTTAACGCCTGATTCACACGCAGCGACTGCAGTCGAATTCAGCGAAGAGTAAGTAAGCGGGTGATGTGGCAATGTGTGAAATCGCCGCGATACTATGATAGAGAGCCGGAAGCATGACTTTTGTTAACGTATCCAGCCTTTCCCGGAGCCGCATCATACACACAATCCCTGGCACTCCAACATGAAGCAAGTGGACTCAGATAACCCCAGAATGGGCGGTGCACCCAGCGTCACTCTCCCAGGAACATCAGCCGCACTCAACGTAGAAGAGTACGCATCGCATCCACAAAGTCACGGCCGCACAGGTTTCCCCAAACAAGGTGGACAGTCACTTTCGTATTGGTTGCAGCAAGTTCGATGCGATCCACTCCTGGACCACCGCACTACCGATGAGCTACCACAAGAAGCCGATACGGTCATCATTGGGTCAGGCATCACTGGGACGCTCGTTGCTAAGCACCATCTCGAGACGTTTCCCACTAAGAAAGTCGTTATTCTCGAAGCGAGAGAGTTCTGCTCCGGCGCAACGGGTCGCAACGCTGGCCACTGCAAACCTGATCAGTGGCGGGGTTACGAGAAACATGCCAAAGCATATGGACACGAGCAGGCAGTAAAGATCTTGGACAACGAGCAAGCTACGTGGGAAACGTTGGTAGCGTACGTGAAGGAGAATAACGTGGATTGCGATCTCTGGGTTGGAGAGACCCTGGATGTTCCCCTTGACGACGAAGTTGCGAAAATAGCCAAAGAAATGTTCGAGAGGTTCGCAGCAGCAGGCGGAAAGGTGGACCGCATTCAAGTTACCCACGATCCTGTCGAAGCAGCGCAAGAGACTCGGATCAAGAGTGCGAAAGCTTGCTATGCATGGCAGGCGTCAACCTTGCAACCTTGGAAGTTGACAGCGCACATCATGCGCGACAACATCAGCAAGGGCGCCAATCTTCAAACTCGCACTACTGCGAAGTCTATCTCTGACGGAAACGGATCTAGAAAATGGATCGTCCATACGGAGCGAGGAGACATCGCATGTGACACCGTCGTGCATGCTACAAATGCATACAGTGCAGCCCTCGAGCCGTCACTTCGCGGTATTATCACGCCCAAGCCACATGTGTGCAACAGAGTGGTTCCACCACAGGCCTTCAGCGGCTCCAGAGCCATCAGCAACTCCTACGGTATTCTGCTACCGGATGGTGCATTTTTCAGTATCAACCCGCGTTCGTCTTCCGATGGCAACATCATGTTCGGTGGCTCCAACCCTGGACAAAAGGAACTGGATGCATGGGTTGAGAAGAACCCAGAGAACTGCATCAATGATGGACTGGCGAACCTAGAGAGTGTGACAAAGCACGTCAGGAAGTTTGCGGACTCGGCATTCGATGGTTGGAAAGACGCCCATGCAGGTCCTGGAGAAGGCTTTGAGTATAGTTGGAGCGGCATCATCGGGTTGAGTGCGGATGGTGTGCCGTTCGTCGGAGAACTGCCCGGAAAGTCTGGTCAATATATCTGTGCTGGCCATCATGGGCAGTAAGTTCGATAGTCTACAAAGAAGTGCGAGGCTAACGTCGGGACAGTGGGATGGGGCGAATCTTTACAGCAGCGCCTGGCTTGGTGAAGCTCATGAATGGTGAAGACTGGGCTGCGACGGGATTGCCGGAGGTGTACCAGATGACAGCCGAAAGACTCGAGAAATTGACGAGCATGGAGCCCGCACCTGCCATCGCGGTTATATGAGGAAAGGAGTTCGTACTTACATGACTCGCGCACTTAGACCGTCCCTTTTCTTTCTCTCCCAGCTACCAAAAATAGCACGCAGAACCACAAGAAAACACGAACAGCGCACAACTTTCCGTAGCCATGTCTGGGACGCTTGCGCGACCGCAATTTCGACCCCGTCACCTGCAGTGGTTCACGAGCGTAAGAGGCGGTGAACTGTCACAGTCGGAACCGTGAAATCGTATGCCACAATCCACACTTTTCCTCTTTTCTTTCCTAACGCAGTAACTTTGTAACTCATCTTCTGCTCGCCCTGGCATTAGATCATGGTAGCGAGGCCGCAGCGGTAATTTGCTTGGTGTTGTGCCGCTGCGAACGCTATTGGTTTGGGTGTTGTGGAAATTTGACACGGCGGTGTCGTGCTAGGTCGTTGTTGCCGGTAGCGAGGGAATAGGCAATATAATGACAGGGGCGATAACGGTTTGTACGACCGTAAGCGCATGGCTCTGCATGGGTGGTTACATCTTCAAATTCTCAGTTTGCAGCTTGCCTTTGGGGTCGTGACAGATGGTTCTCTGACAGCTCTTGGAAAGTGCGGGGTGCGCTCGGGCCGACATCGATGCGGCGGGTACGAATGACTTCACTCCGGACTATACATGTCCGCTAATATATACTTCGGATGACAGCCAGGGCTAGACGAGAGCCAACACTGGTCGTACCTCAAGATTGCAGGACTACACATACCCGGAAAGTTTACGTCATGTCTAGCCTACCAGACAACATCCGCAAGACGCTTGAAGTCCTACTTCCCAAGATCAGATCGCAACATCAGAAGTCATCAAAACCCATCATACTTGGTATCACTGGCCTGCAAGGATCAGGAAAGTCGACATGGGCATCAGAGCTGGTCACAATTCTGTCAAAAGACCATGGCCTCCATACGATAACGGTCTCACTGGACGATTTCTACAAGACGCATGATGAGCTAGTGGCCCAGCGGGATCGTGATCCAAACAACAACCTCTACCGTACTCGTGGACAGCCTGGTACACATGACGAACAGCTAGCCCAGAAGTTCCTCGGTAGTCTGAAAGAGTACACCGGGAAAGGCGACCTCAAGATACCGAGCTTCGATAAGAGCAAGTACAACGGCGAAGGCGACCGGGCACCAGAATCAAAATGGCCAACAATTTCACAAAAGCCTGATGTTGTCGTCTTCGAAGGCTGGTGCGTCGGCTTTCAGCCAGTCCCGCAATCATTCATCGAAGAACGACACTCATTGGCAAAAGCGGGAAAGCTCACGGTCAACACGCCTGCAAATCATCAGCTTCCTCATTTGCTCGAAGTGAACGAGAACCTCAAGCGCTACTGTGATGCGTTCATGGGACCTCAGCACTTTGACTTCTTCATTCACATCGACACGGATGATCTGAGGAACGTGTACACGTGGCGGCTGCAGCAAGAGCACAAGATGATTGAGGTCAAGGGGTCGGGGATGTCGAATGAGCAGGTTCGCGCGTTCATTGATGGGTATATGCCGAGCTATGAGATATATCTAGAGCGCCTGCGCGAAGGACTATTTGATGATAAGGGTAGGATGGTTAGGGTGGTGTTGGATAAAGAGCGAGGTGTTCAGAAGATTGAGGAGCTGTAAGAAGATATGTGTTTACACATCGATGTTCAACCACTCTTAGCCGACGATAGCAGAAGACTAGAAGGGATGATGGAACAGCAGAACTGAGATGCTGAACCGGCGATCATGAGATGGGGAGATTTGCTGAATATCTTTTCACAGTGTGCGCTTTGTCCAACATAGTCACTTTCACCATCACCGCGATTAGTTCTGCGTCGTACTAGCACAATCGTATTTGCCGAACGAACACCCCACCGCCAACGCCACCTCTTTGACTTTCGTTTTCTTTCTGCATGAGATCATGGCTAACGCGAATCACTATCAGATCCTCGGTATCGATATCCAAGCTAATGACGCCGTGATCAAAAAGGCATATAGGCGGGTTGCGCTCAAGAACCATCCCGACAAGACCCTGCACTTGTCGACAGCGGAGATCGAGCAGCGGACTAGAATCTTCAAGCTAGCGACTACTGCGCAGGAAGTTCTGCTCGATTCCGCGAAGAGAAAGAGCTACAACAGAACACTAGCGCGGGTAGTGAGGCCATCTAGTGCACCAACTGCGCGACCTCCCCCAGTGCCTGCTTCCGATGCACCAGGCTTCAAAAGGCCTCCGCCGCCCCGAACCACACCAAAGCGTCCCGATGCGTTCCAGCCTCCGAAGTTCCACTACTTCGGTGGCCCAAGAGAACCTCCATCAAGCAAAGCAACACAGACGCCACCCCAAACTCCACACCCCTTCACTGCCGGAAGCCCAACCACCTACCCCCCACCAACCCCCTACTTCTACGCCCCGGTAACAGAAACATCCCAACGCACAATCCTCACCTACTCCAACAACGACAAGTGGATCTTCAGTATCGGCGTCTCAAAAAAGTACGAATGGACCGTCCGCCCCACACTGCCTCTCCTGGGAGAAGAAACGAAAGACATGATTACGGTGAAGTTCTGCCTGCGCCGCACCAAATATAACATGGCCGCCGCATTCATCAAAGACGTTGTGCTAACCGTCGAGTCCACGCCTGACAGCCGGAGTATCGCGGTCAGTTCCATCTTCGCCGAGAGGAAAGACGGTATAGATCTTTGGATTACGATGGCAGGGATTGGTGCGGCATCTACTACGAATACACCACCGGAAGTTAAGCAGTCGTGGATGTGGGCGTGGGATATCGATTTGGGCTTCCTGGTTCCGTTCTATAAGGCATTGAGGGCGACACACTTGATGTTTTATCCGCAGTATCCCGTGCATGCTGTGGGCGTGGATGGAGCGACGCCACCAACGAAGGAGCCTTTTCTGAGGGGGTCGCCGGCGGCAGAGTTAGTCAACATGTTTCCAGGGATGGCGTATGTGGGTTTGACGAGACAGTTCTATTGTCAGGAGGTGAAGAGGGAGGGCAAGACGTTTTGGCAGCTTGCTGCTGTTGGGCATGTTTAAGTTGTCTTGGTCGTGCTATATGTTGTCAGCACAAACAAAGCGGCCACTACTACGGGGATGGACTGCATTCAACAGTGAATGTGTTGATAACGAATAATACTTCTTGATTCTATGCTCTTATGAAACCAGGCCGCTCAGAACGCCAAATATGCAAACCATCTAACAATGATCTATAGGACACCAGGGATGGGTCCCTTCTTCTCGTTGGAGCCCAACTCTTCCTCGTTCCATCCACTGCCAGCGCCAACCTTGCGTCCGCCCTCCTCTCTCTTAATCCTGCACCACAGACTGATGTCCTTATCCCAGATGAATTGCCAAATGACGTATACCCAGCTCTTGTGTTGCGGCAAGTCTTTGTAGAAGTCGTGCGCGATACGGTTCAACGCGTGGAGGCGCGTCCAGGGGATCGCAGGGAAGTCGTGGTGCTCGTTGTGTAGACCGACATTATAGGTGAAGAAGTTGAGAGGTCCGTAGTACGAGTAGGTCTCGGGAAGTGGGATCTTGTTGGCGGGGTTCGACGGGTCCTTCTTGGGCTTCTCGAAAACGTAGTGTTCGGCGATGAAGTGACCTGCGCACGGGTGTAGAGATCCGGCGAGGAAGCTGCTCATGATCAGGTAGCCCAATGCCCTGCCTCCTGCGAATCGGACGAGTGCGAAATCGAAAGCGAGTTGTACAACGACATTGAAGAGGTGAATCTTGGTCATTGGCAGGGCGTAGACGAACATAGGTCGGAGGGCGTAGAAGAGAATCTGGAAGGTCGCGAAGAAGGCCTTGCCAGCGACCGAATCGAGGAAGATAGCCTCAAAAGCAGTGGGCAGATCCGTGTCGAGACCATTGACACCCAGCGACTTGTGATGTGTCAGGTGGTAGGGCCTGAAGGAGGCGCTGTATGGAATGCCAATTGGCAGGTTCGCAAACACGGCAAAGATCCTGTTTGCCTGAGGCGATCGGAAAGCCAAGTTGTGCGATATCTCGTGAATGGCGAGGAAAAGGTTCTGGTTGGCCGTGGCACCGATTACGTATGCGGTAAGGAAGAAAGTCCATGATATGACGGGCGTATTGCGGAGGAGGTATGCGCAAAGGACTTGGATCGAGACGACGAGTAGGACGACGTATTTGGTGAGAGGCTCAGGGCCACAAAGCTTCGTTACCTGTATTCGGTTAGGTTATGCTCAATTGCAATGGTATCGTAAGAATTGTACCTCTGGATGTGCCTTGATGATAGCCATACGTCGTGTCCTATGGGGCTCTTCGGTGTATGTCCAGAAAAAGTGATCGTGTTCATTCTTGGCTTTTGGCTCCTGCTGTTTCTCCCCTTTCACAGTGAAGCTTCGGGGAACAGGCTCCTTTGACGGCACTGTCGCGGTAGAGACTGAAGACCGCATGTTGGGCAGTCGTGAGGAACAATTGCAGAGTGTGTGAAGGGCAGAGGGGTCCAGCTCTCGAAGTTTGTGGAGTACTTGACCCTGAGCTTGGCGCTAGTGGAGGCAGTGGGGCTGTCTCACGCCATGATTGGCTGACAACTACGCTCCGTTCGCCACCCCGCTAGCGCAGGAACGATAAGCTTGCCTTCTAGAACCGTCACGTTCTGTCTCTTCACAGCTTTCAAGTGACAACAGTAGTAGCAGACAAACATGTTATTTCATCCAATATACAATTTGTACCCATACCCAAGAAATATCCAATATCACTATCGCCTGCTGGTACCTAAGTACCTAAGAGGTACCAGTGCCGGCAGCTCTTGGCGGCAGATAATGAAAGACTGAAGAGCCTAGCCCCTTGTCATCACCTTCCAACAGCGGCATCGGCAGCGTATAGTAGCTCCTTAGCAATTCTTTAACGCGATCGTTTGTCAAGTCGGATGTTTCGTTGTCGGGGTCGTTATCGGAATCCCATCCAGGTCGACAGATGATCGCTCTAGGTTTAATCCGCCTCTTCTCATCTCTCGGGATAGGGTTCGGCTGGTCGGAGATGTACCCAGCGAGAACTTGGCGTATGGGAGTCTTCGTATTGAATGTGACGAACATCCAATCGTCGGCCATCCAGGGGGTGACTTTATCGGATGGCCACGCCGCTTTCCATCCACTTCCGTTTCTGCGTGCGTCGACCTCCACGGTCACAACACTGGACTTGGTCGGAGGAACGACCAGGAACTCGTTCCTCAAGAATCTTAAATCTTCATCGGTGTAATAGGCGTCTTCGAAAAAGACCTTGATTGTCGGCGTTTCGCTATTTCGTACTTGTTAGTCTCTGGATCGTAGCGCTTACAATTTGATAGTTTCGCACAACCAATACCTACTTCTGATCAAATTTGGTCTCACCATGCGTCGTCTCCATTAGAGACCGTACAATCTGCCGTACCAGAAGATAAGATCGAAGATTGCCAGGAAAATCCTTTCCTGGACACTTTTCGAGCGTCCCAAGCCCCGCTACAACAACCCTCCGGACCGTCTTACCCATCTTGAGGAGCATGTCTTCCAGTGCGGGCTCTTTGTGCAATGGCTCTGGTTCTGGTCTCCCCGGATCCTCAAGAGGAAACTCGATAGGACTGGAAACGATTTCGTTCAGACGCCATCCAAGTAAAGAGTGCCAGTGCTTTCTGACGGCTCTGTCCCAATCCATAACATCATGGCTGCCGGGTATCCAAAAGGAACTTCCTTGAGCAAGTTCCAAATCAGTGGCATGGCGACCTGGGACGGGACATTCGACGTGAGCGACGTTATTGTAGTGTTTCCAAGGATTCCAAGCCGATCCCGCGGTTGCTGGCTGTTTGGATGACTTTGAAGCTTGCATGATAAACTTGTTGGGTTTGTAGATAGCTGGTGTACTGTACAGATAGGAATATCGAGTCGATGGTGGTCAATGAAAAGGGTATCTAAAGCCGCCTTTTATACTGTTTCCTGTATGACTCGAAACACTGTCTACTCAAAGTCAGAGTCACATCCGTATACGAGTATGACCATGCGATGAGGCGCACAGTCCCACCGAGTTAGTATAGACTAACACGATCCTCGAACCACAGCCTGGTATCGTCCATGATCTGAGCAATAATCCTACGCGATTGACCCTGTTTCAAGTTACTCGATTCAACTTTTCGGGCTATTGTACAACGGCACAAGTCGGCAGCAGCCATTGCAAGTGCCATATATTGGCTCATGTAGCGGCTGAGTGGTTCACAGTGACTCCAAAAAGGTCGCACAATGAGTCCGAACATGTGGGCCAGCCTGGAATGCAGTCATGGCCAATGCTCAGGTATAGTGTGACGAAGATGGGATCTGACACTCCGTCGCGGTTGATGTTTGCACAGCAAACACAAAATACGTCATACTTCACGATCCTCTAACTGTCTTCCAAGGTTTTGCAGCAAGTCCGTGACGCATAGGAAAGAGTGTCTATCTGAGCAGGCCAACATCTCAATCAAGCATCATGATGGCATGTTGACATTGATAAGTGGGATTTCGGCAAAAGCTTTCCAGCATTGATTAGACTACCACAGTATCGTTACATAAATTATCTAGCTACACCTATTTACATGAGCTATTCTATAACCAGCCTGCACCTAGTCAAAAGTTCGGCAGCCTGCGAGCCATTCTTCTCTAGGCCTCAAGATCCAAAGATACATTTTTCCCTTGAATGGCCGATAGTCATCTACTGTAAACCTATGGACTTCTTTGTATCTGCTGAACCACTTGTCGACACGCGTATCGGTATCATCTTCACGACGCTCATTCGGTGCCAATGTTCCACGTTCCCGAGTAATTTTTGGAAATAGGATCTCCGTTGAATATCGGCAGATGATCGCGCGTGGCATGATAGCATTGGGTTCTTCTGTATCGTCCCAGTCTTCTCTATGATCCCCGTCCTTCCAAGTGTACTAGGCCAGAATCTGTCGAATGGAGTCTATGGGTTTGAAAGTCACAAAGATGTAGTCGCCGCTGTCTTTTTGAGTGCCGGTCCAGCCCGTTCCATCGTTGGTCGCTTGGACTTTGACCCCTTTGTTAAGGTATTTCTGGTCCAGGAAGCGATTATCCAGATAGTGGCGGTCATTCTCATAGTAACGACAATCCTCGAGAAAAACCCTCCAACGTGCTTCGTTTGCTGTATTCATTGTGTACGCGGTTTCGAAGATCCTACGAACCAACATGTGCTGCCACAAGCTGTCCTCATAGTCATCGTTCTCGCTGTAGAGAAGGCTTCCAAGACCGATTGCCACAATGTTATGGATATTGCCTCCAGCCGCCCGAAGATGTAGAGCCAGCTCGTTATTCGATAAATCAATAAACCCCGGCCATTGTCCTTTATCTTTCATCTCTGTAACCGCCGCTAAGCCTGCAAATACTTTTGTGGCGTCGCGCTTCGGATTCTCATCCTTAGGTTTGCCTTCGTACCAGAAGAGATCAGTTTCCACCTGAGAGTTCAGCAATCTCGTGGTTGCGTAAATTCCAGTCATATTAGATGGGTGTTTGAGAGTCTCAAGAGACCAAGGACATGGTTGTCGGCTGTCAGCCTTGGTGATTTCCTCCGGCTTGAGGTTTCTAGCACGAGTGGACATCTCTGGTTGTAGGTAGACTCAAAAACTGATGTGTTGTATGCTGATATGTCGGCAATGGATATGTGTGCCTGCTGAACTGACTTCTGGGTTATTGAAAGCTGCTTCATTGGCGCAAAGGTAACGAAGCCCCAGAGAAGGCTTTATATAGTGAAGAGTTTGATGACTCTACTCCGCGTGAGCATCATAGCAAACCTAGGCATGACTCCGATGAGGAAGATCGTGGAGCCAGGAATGGCCGATCATTGATCCTGAGCGCACGCAGGAGCGCCTCGTATACTTACTGACACTCGTCGTGCTACAACACAGGAGTCAATATGCCTCTGATGGAAGTGAGTATCCGTGATAACCAATCGTCGGCGCGTACCGTTGAGAGCCAACTCGAGACAAAGAAACCTGGAGCTTTGACACAGATCAGAAAGTGACTCTCCGCGCCGCACTAATCTTGAATCCCACCCCAAGATGTAGACTCATCGATAAGTGACCGCGGTCTGACTGTGTATTCTGCAATACACATGACCAAGAACAGATCAGCTCCTGCGCAAGTTGGGTGTGTGCACGTTCACCGTAGTACGAGATACTCAGCAATGTAAAGCACAGTCAACCTGTATGCTCTTGCTAATCTAAGGGACGTGCGACATGCTGGCGGGGTATCATAATCGTTTCGTTCCTTTTACGTCATTCCATATTTCTTTCCCAATGTTCTTCCAGTTCCCGACCTCTTCATCACTTCTCTTTCTCCGGGTGAGGCCTGATCGCCTGACTTCCACGAGCCATACCACGCCCCAATAAGCGACCGACAACGACGCTAGTATATATGCCAGCCATACGATCAGAAGCACGGATGTACCTTGATCCAGCTTCCCCCCAGCAACATCGATGATGTCACCAGCCACCGAGAAAACCCCAGAGATCAACACCGTGAGCAAGACGGCGGCGACAAAGGCGAATGCGCTCGCAAGGAATGACCAGAAGATGTTGAAGTAGGCGAGAAGTTTTGAGTGTGGAAAGATGATGGCTGGAATGGCGGAGACGGCGGAAAACCCAGCGCCGACGAGCGAGACGAGTAAGGAAGCGAAGACGGTGTATCGCACGCCGGCCAATATGGTAGCCATGGTCCTGAGGAGCGTTGAGACTAGAATGATTGGGGAGAGTGGGTCTTGAGACCCATCAGTCGGCGTGGTCAGTGTCAATAGCCCTACAGAAGTATGGTCAGTCAAACCTCAAACGCCTTTGAAATTGTCTTACTCACTGTCACTTGCTTCGCTATAACTTTCGCATAGTTCTACGATGATAGTATCGGAAGAATCGTATTGAGCATCAGAAATAGAGCCCGAACAAACTGTCCTGAGGTAGACATAGTAGACGTCTGCTAGTGCGTCGCCGTCCACGCTTTCCGATCGTCTCGATATTGCATCTGACTGCGAGCTCTCTCGGGCGATCGTAGTTGTATTCAGCTGCGGTTCGTTAGTATCTGACCTCATTTCACCTAGATCTGTATACGTACTGCCACGATGTACTGTCCACCAAACATATGTTCATCGCTCCCAGCCAGTACCAGTACCAGCGTGAAGACAAAGCTTGCGACCGCGAATGCGATTGAAAGGATCGCAGAGAACCGGTACTTCATCAACACCCTCTTCGGTGTCTTGGGCGGCGCCGGCAGGGCCTTGTCGGTAGACTTCCGCAAGTCTCCAAGATCGGGCTCAATTGCGATCTCTTTCCCCGTGTAGAAGGTCTCCTCTATGTGATCCATCTTGCTCATCGACACACCGTGTGGTTGAACGGCGCTAACAGCGAGACTGACAGTGCTGACGGATGTCAGTACATGAAGGCAAGTGCAAGATGTCCATAGCAGAAGACATATGCACTGTCGCAGAGAGATGATAAGTAAGGCGCTTCAACATGCGTGCAGCATGACGCAATGTTCCTGGTTATCGGGAATCTTCAATCTCGATGTCTGGGAAGCATGGATGTACGTGGTAGCCTTGTCGCATGATTATAGTGTTGCATGATAGACCTGCTATATACCGTCGCGGATACGGCACATGCAGCCTTGCGCGGGGATAGACCGGTGGTTTCAAACAACCTGCTAGTTGCCAGATCGCGATGGATGTGCGAATTCGGCGATCAGCGTTCCTGTTTCGGCGTCGCAGGACGTGGCCAAAGCGTGGCATTGAGCAACAACCAGCTTCAGATGGATGGGGTCTGAGATGTTTCGTCGACATCCGAACAACTTGCGCATGGCCGGGCCCACGCATTGGGAGTACGCGTCGTGCCGAACTGAGAGCGGTCGTGAAGTTCGCGAATGCGAGGTAGTAGCTCACGCAGAAACGGGGAGCGCTTCACTAGTGCGACTGAAACGCCAAACTTTAGGAGCGACGATCGTGGCCTCTCCACGTTATTCAACTACATTTGCCAAAGCCTTCTAGGAGTAGTTGTCGAAGAACGACGGAGAGCTCGTCAAATGCATGAACGTGCAGCTGTTCTACTGCTGAAAAAATGATCCTGGGGGATATTGTGCAAGAGGCTGTGGCTGAAGGTTGGGAAACGCGTCGCCCTAATCATGGGTTAGTCCAGTAGCACCTTATGAGCCGAGCTAAACATACCCAGTCGAGAGGTAAGGTATACTGGTCCAGGTCCATTGGCATGAAGCCAAAATCGAACGGGTGAACAAAAGCACTATTGCCCATGTCAAATGCATCCGAGTCGGGAACAGCAAATCCAAAGTTGTTGGTGTCGAAAACCTGGGATGGGGAAGTCAAATCAGGTTGGGCACCTATGTGAGCCGCTTTCGATGACGTTAGTAAATGTAAGCGGGTAGTAAATAAGATGCCGCTTACCGTGCGCCGGGTCGGTAGCCTGTACCCCACTGCAGTGAACTTTAGAGAGAACAAGCTTCACGGCTGTA